AAGAGATTATTTTATTGATAACAGATGAAGTAAATGATTATGAAAAGATTAAATTATTACGAGTGGCAGCAAGAATTGTAATTGTTTTCGTTGAATAAACCAACCAGCCCAATCAGTCACATAAAATCGAATGAACTGTGTGTGATATAACTATTACAAACATATTGTTCACTGGAAAAATATTATTCTTGCGAGGATTACGATGAGAAATATGACTCGTCGAGGTCTTTCATGAATTTTTTTCAAAATATTATTATTCTACTCATCTAAAATGCTAAAGTTCCAGCTGCAGTATTTCTAGCATTAATATTCGAGTTTTACTGCCACTCTCAACTACTTGTTCACCAACTTTATGTGATCGTTTATTTATGAACGGAACTTATTTCCATAAGTTAACTAATATCATCAAAAAAATATTCGTTTATTTTCTTTTTGTTCTTCAATTTTTAGTTTGATTTATTTTTTGGATTTTATGCTAAATAAGTGATGTGTCCTTGAAAAATTTTTAGCTCTGGATGATGGAAATGGATTTGAAATTTACTATATTTATAATAGTTAATTGGATAGTTTTAGATTGTTTTAAGAAATAAGGCTTTGTCTCTTGGCTGTGATGAGAATAAATCTGCCATCAGGAAAGCCAGAAGGTGCTGGCCGTCCATCTATATTTTTACCACTTTTATCATTTTCCCAAATAACTGACAAAAATTTCTAACTGTACTAATAGTTAATTGACCCAGTCTAATGATAATTACCAGATATTTGCTTAATATTTAAGAGAGACAATGGAAAGCTTTTCTAAATAATCCTATATATATATATATATATATATATAAAATAACTTGAAAATACCATAGCAAAATCTTTCATTCATAAGTTGACTTGGAATAAAATGGACGCAAAATTGTAAGATAACGATGAAAGGAATGAATAATGAAAGGACAAAAGCATATTACCAAACTGTCACTCTAGCTTCATCCATCCCAAATGACTCTCCAGTGAGAGGATTTCATTCCTATAATCAATACAAATCAGAGATGGTGGCTATCTTTTTAACAAAAGATTTAAGTTTATAGATTTTCACGGCTATTTATAAAAATTGGAACTTTAAAAGATAGATTGATAAATCAATCAAATATCGTTCGATATTTTAGAATTTATGCAATGAAATTTCCTATCGCTTTTGAACCTTTCTTAAGTAAAATGAAATTTTTATTAAATAATTTCAGTTAAATTTTTTCTAATCATAAAAAACGAAATAAGCCGTTGATGGGATATGTAAAATAAATGAAAGGAAAACCGTAAAACCGGTGGAGAATGACGAAGTTTCGCATTTTTCATTTTAAGCCCGTCTGATTAAGAATTTCTCGATTTTCATTTTTTTTTTCTAAAATTTTTCACGAAGAACGATCATGAAAAGAAGTTAATTCAGTTTCTGTGGTTCATACTCTCTCATATTTTTATACAATAATTCTTTTTCTTTTTCTGCTAACAGCTTTTCTGCTAACTCTGCTTTACTAGCTCCACTAGTCTTTAGGACGAAATCTATTCACCAAATAGCCACTTAAAGGTTGAAATACAGATGGATTCCCAACGCCATGCGGTTCATAATTTCGTAATTTATCGTCTTTTTCGATGTAAAATTTTTCATTGATACATGCAAAACATTAATGAACAAAATATGCTTTTCAATAGCTTTTATAGCTTTTTTATAGATTGCTTTCTATTATTTTTTCTTTTTGCAAAATAATTTAAAATAATTTAATTATGCAAAATCAAAATGTATTTTTAATAAATAAATTCGTATTCCTCATTTGATATGTCGAAATTTACTGAATCGAGAAATTTTTCGACTACTCTTCAGACATTGTTGAATCCTTTTTAAGCACCAGTGAATCCATAAATATTTTCGCTTTTGAGTGCAATCCATGAAAAAATTTTACAAAAATAATAAATAAGAAATTAAAGGAATTTGCAGATGTCTAGGAAAATGACAAATTGTTCAGAATTTATTGTAGAAGCAGTCGATAAAATCAGTACAGAAGCATTTTTACTGGTTAGCAATCCTATTTTTATTCTTATTTATTTAATTAATCACTTTTTAATTCGGAAAATTATTCTAATATAATTTTTATTACTTTTTTATTATCTATGTTAAAAGGTTTTATAAAATCGATTACGGAGATTTTTCATTGCTTTTTTTTAAAGTATATTTGCTAAATATAAGCCTTATCAATCTATCAATACCAATGTTTTCAATTTATCAATATTTTTCACCTAAAACTATCTCGCCGTATCATTTTATGCAATATACATCAATATTTTTTAATCTTATCAATTAATCATTGAGCTATAAATATTGTTGAATTAAGAATATCTATCATATTTGTTGATAAATTCAATAGCTAAGCCGTCCATCATAAGATACATAAATTATTTGAAATCCTTCAAAAAATAGATGAAAAAAATTTTTCAAAAATAATAATGCGAAAATATTCAATGAAAAATATGAAAGGACATTTTTTAATTTTATTATTAAATTATTAACCTGTCTACATTTTTTCATTTAGCAGGTCATGCGATGATTTTTTTCAGCTTTAAAAGCGAGAATTTTTATAATAATGGAAATTTTATTAATAATATTGATATTTATATGATATTTATTTATATTTATAATATTATAATATAATATAATATTTATATCATATTATATTTATATTTATTTAATATTTATATAATATTTATATTTTACAATGGTGTTTTCAAAACAAATATTTAAATATTTCAAATATTTTCAAATATTCAAATATTTTTAATATTTTAATTGCATTTATATATATATATATATATAATTGAAATTTTCATCCAAAGTTAAAATCCGCTCGTGGTCCATCTTATTAGTTGAGCATTTTTGTTTTTAAAATTAAATTTTGATGAGAAATTTCGTCCTTTTTGAACTCGTTTCAAACACCATTCGGATTTCATTTTAATGGGAGGTTTCCTCCAAGTAGAGCTCGAACCTATGAGTGAAATCGAAGCAAAGTACCACTCAACCAGCTTGAATCTATGACTGAAATCGAAGCAAAGTATCACTCAGCCAATTTATATATTTAGTATTATTTAGTTTTATATTTATTATTTGCTGTTTTATTACGAGATTTATTAATTATTATCAGACAGGGATGAAATTAACCATTTCTTCTTCTTCTAACAACTCTCACCATTACTGATCAGGCTGGCTCAACTGGAAGCAAAATATGCAAATTGAATGAGTGGTACTTTGATTCTCCAACCTGCGAGATCCGATATAATCGTCGACAGTAATAGAATCCATTCCTTTTTCCATCGTTTAAGTTCATATATCACTGGCCCATCTATACATTCAAAAGCTTTCCTGACTGACTAGACCAGGTTTTAACGAAATATGCATCAACTCGTATTGGGGTGGGCGATAGAGAATGTGCCAGTGCCCTAACCAGCGAAGACGACGCTCTGTGATAACATTATTAATACAGGCGATATTTGAGCTGAATACAAATATATGCGATTTTATCCGCTCGGTGGGCCCGAACCATGAGTAGTGAAAGGCAAAGAGCTACTTATCTTCCACTTTCAGTGGCCAGGATAGTAAGATCGAGCGAATTGGAGATATATGGATGAGGATTTTCGTCTTTATTATGGTGATTTCGCAACGAGTCCATAAAGGTTTCATGAACCGGAAGAAAGCATTTCAAGCTGCTATTATCCAAGTTGTAATTTTGTCTTTTGCCTAGCCATTCGGTATTAGAGTGAATCCAGAGTATTTAAAATCGTGAACTTCATCAATTGGAAAAAAATTGATAAAATAGATATAGAAATAGATATTTTATCAGCTTCTTGTAAATAAAACCAAAAAGCTTTCGTTTTATTTGCACTGATCCTGAATCCGATTCTCGAAGCATTTATCGACTCATTGTTCAGCATTACTTGCATTTCGTCATAATTCATAATTTGTAATTTGTCAGCAAAAAGGATTGCATAATTAGCGTATTCAAGGTTTGTTCTACTATGCTATGAACTGAGCTTTTTCAGATATGATAGTCGCTATGTCTTTTCGCCATGAATTATCCGAAACAGCACAATGATACAGCCAGTACTCCAGGTTTGATAATTGCACTATACTCGAAGTGCAGAAGATGGACCGCCGACAAGCAGGCAGTCCACACGAATTAGCACGATATTTAGAAAGAGTGTGGACAGTAATCGCCTGACTTGCTACGTCCATAAGCGTTCTGACGTCCCTGCTACGGCTTACACCACTCCGCGCGTGCAGAGAGCTTTTCCTTAGTTTCGAGCAGTTATCATCGTTTGCGAATAGATCATATCCTTAAGTCTTGAGGTCGTTTGTCTACACGCGGATTGTATACTTATAGCATGTACCACCGAAATGAGAAAATATAATGGGCTTCGGACGCCGTGTCAAAAAGACCTGAGTCTTTCACCATAGAGTTACTTGGAGATATAGTTACAGGTACAGCAACCACCTGTATTTTCATTATCATGGCAGGTTTACTTCTGTCAAAGGCAAAAAAAAAATAAGGGAGAATGAAAAATAAACTAGAAAATAAAAAAATTGTATATATATATAATATATATATTTTTTATATAATTTAATTGATTTTATGTATAATTTATTTTAATTTCTGTCTGAAAAAAAATTTAAAAGTTTAAGAGAATTTAACTGAATTGTTATCAGAAATTTAAAAAAAATTTACAAATAAAGCGAAGTAAATCGATAATATTTACTTGAAATAACCACTCATTAACTTTAATTTGATAAAAATTTAATCAAAAATCAACCATATCATATAATAATTAATATAATAATTAATGATATTGGAGAAGAAAATAAATCAAAATAATTCCAGTAATATTTTTTTTATATAAATTTTGAGAAAATCCCTTTTTTCCAGCTAATTTTCCATATTATATTGTTGATTTTCGCATCAGTCGGCAATATTGGAATGTTTCTAATCCTACATCGAAATCTTCGTAGCAATCGTATGAACCACATTTATGTATTGTTGCTTCATATGAATATCGCTGATTTAATAGTTACTTTCGAATATTTACCAAAGCAAATTATTCATATATATACGATTTACTGGTACGGCGGAGATTTCTTGTGCAAGGTAAAGTGCTTTTGCTTTTTTAAATACTTGGAAAATTAGATGTGTTGAAAAAATTTTGAAGTAATTTTGTTGGAAATTGCAAAAATATTCTTTGATTGGCATTTTACACTCGACTTTTTCCTCGTTGAGATCCTTTTTTCTTCCAGTATTTCTTGCTTGGCTCGTTTTATTTTCGTGAGAAGTGCACTTGACACATCGCCAGAGGGCTACTTGAAAATAAAAATGCAGATATTTCTCCAAGAATTCCATTTTTAAAGATAGTTTGTTTAGGAACAAAAATCCATGTTGCCCTCAGTCAAAGACCATTCAACAAATAGTTTTTTAACCAAGTATTCACGTTAAAGTTGATCTTCTTGAGAATGCACCTAGATATAGACGAGCCCTTTGGTCATGAAGTAACAATGAAATATGCATATTTTAGAAGTTTTATGCTACTTTTGTAGATTGGACGATTTACTGACATGTTCGGTGTATCATTATCATCAAGTGTGCTTATATGTGTCTGCATTGATCGCCAACTTTCTGTTTCGAGGCCTTTCTCAGTAATACAAGGACTTCAGCGTAATAAAACTATGCTTATTGTCGCATGGGTTACAGCAGTTATAATAAGCGCACCTCAGGTGAATTAATTTCCTTGAAACCAATCTTTAGTTTCTGAAATCTTTAATATCCAAAATATTCAGATTTTATGTTCTTATGGAAACCTGGGAGTTTTTCACAGCAATGCAGTAACTTTTTACCATTTTCAGTTGGCAATATTTATCGAAGCAACACATCCATGCAACAAAGCGATTATTCAGTGCGTTGCTCGAGATTATATCGGTCTTCTCGACACTCGTATTGTGCTAGCCTATACATTCTTAACTGCTCTTTATATCTATTTTATTCCACTTATTGTTATTCTTTTTTGTTGCTCGATCATACATTATCGGCTGAAATTATCGTTAAATTTAGAAAGTAACGGTGAGTAAAATTTTATAAAATGAGTTTTAGTTTTCCTATAAATTTCTAAAATCCTTTAATCCTTCGCGTCTACGAATAACAATTTTCTTTATTGAAAATTTTTTGCCAGTTCAAAAGTTAAAGCTTAAAAAGCGCAGAACATTCGTATTACAGCTGTTTGCATTTATGTTTCTATGAAATAGTATAATAGCTTTTATTGAATTTATGAATGATTATGATGGTGAAGGTGGATAATAGTTTCATTAAAAACCAGTACAATTTTAATTGCAAAGGATTTCGGATGATTTACTCATCTAATAAGCATTTATTTTTCATTAACGCATTTTTATTATTATCCGATAATTAGTTACATTTAGCACTTTTTTTCTATGCTTGGACTATCTAATCCTTTGGTTTTCATGTGCATCGTATCGTTATGAATGATGAAAAAAATCAAAAAACCTTGTTTATTTTTTATAGTATATATTTTAAAATTAAAAAAAAAGTAGTGCAATATAAAAATAATGGGATTTAGTGGAATCTTTTGCGAAACCAATATCTGGTTCAGTGAAAATAGTTGCAATCTTTTATGAGTTCTGAGGTCTTACGACATGCCGCATAACTAGTTTTCTATCGCATTTGGCATGTGAGCTATAGTTTGGAATCTCTATTCTAACACAACATTTCTGATTTGGCTAGCTTTAGTTACCATTAGGCCGAATTGTCTTTGCCAGAGAGCCACCTAGAGATGAAAATATACACTACTATTTTTTATACTAATCGAAATTCTATTAGTTTTAATGATTCAATTCCCATCTTAAAGCAAGAAGCAAAAACTCGATGAGGATTCGATTTTGATCGAATATCTTCTCCATTATTCTAATTACATTGAACATCTTTTGGCAACTTGCAACTTTTGAAAAATTTTCTAACTTAGTAGAGCAAATAATTTCTCACTTGGTTATACTTTATAATATATACAATACAAATATGTTAGTTAATGAAAAATATGAAATTAAAATAAGAAAATTATGAATAAAATGAAAAATTATGAATTTGAATAAAATTATAATAGATGAAAATAAAGTGGAAATCATTGAAAATCCAATAAATTTTCGTTCATAAAATTCTATGCGAAGTTTATTTCAGTTTTAATACGTGGTGAAAGAAATTGTATGATGTTGGCGTCGGAAAGCCTCGTGAAAAGTAATTTTAATACTACTCATTTTATTAAATTAGATTGCCATATTTGTCTATTTCTTTATGATAACCTGGCATATATATTTTTACTAGCCAATATCATTTTTTCATGAATTTTCATAATATTTTTAAAAACCAACTTAATTTTCAAAAATTTGGAATTATATGCCTAAAAATTTTATAGTTTAGGCCTTGGACCACTATTAAGTAGTACGAATCTTATGGATTTTCATCGTGTAACGAATGCTCGGTTAAATAATCTTCGACGAGCTAAAGCAAAAACTATCCGTATGACTCTAGGCATTGTATCATTTTTCTTAGTGTGCTGGACACCTTATTATATTGCCGTAACGATTCGGTTTATAGACGTTAATTATAAGGTAATTTCAAATTTTTAATTTTTCTAAATTCTACAGGATATGACTGACTACGATTCGACCGGATTGAGACTGAAAACCTAGATTATCGTGTTGAAAGGAAGGCGAGGATTGGGTTTTTTAGTTTTAATTATGATTTAATATTTGCTAAACAAAAGCTGAAAATCGTCGAAAATTTTTATAAATATTTGTCAACGATTACTAAATCTTTTTCTTTTGAATTTTCCCCTATAAAACTGTTATATTACAGACGGGTCAGTTAAACAAACGTATAGTTCTACCAGCGATACTTTTTAAAATACTTTATATGTTTGCAATGCTTAACAGCTCATTCAATGCCTATGTTTACGGATATTTTGCATTAAATATAAAAAAAGAACTAAAAAGCTTGAAAGATTTCTGGTTTGGCTCAAAGCAGCGCTTTTCAGAACATCAGCCATATTCTAGTTTTATAAAAAAAAAAATTTCAAATTCGGTTATTTAATGGATTATAGTATTTTTTGAAAGATTTGGAACGAATAAATTAGAATAAAGGATTGGGGAGATTTAGGCAATTCGGATAAGTTGGTAGGGGTCGTGCGACCACGCTCCTTTTTCTTTTCTTTTTCTCCTCTTTTATTCTCCTTTTGTCGTTTTCTCTACTATATTACTGTATTAATTCTTTCTTACCAGAGAAATGAAAATTTGCGTTGTCCACATAGCCGAAGAGTTCCATTTCTATAAATAAATACTTCAAGTAATTCTTCTATAAGTGAAAAATTTCGTATCGAAGAGACATTTGTTCTAAAATGATGCTCATCGAAGTACGAAATAAATTTTTCAAGAACAATGCACTAAAAAATTCATAAGTGATGCAAAGGCAAATTAATCTTTTAGTAGATTCTCAAATGAGGACGAAATTAAAATGCGAAAATTTTATATTCTTTCCAGAAGAGTGGGAAAGATTATTGGTCGCAGCAAATAAATCTGTTCATTGTAATGAATAAAATGATTCTTTGCCTGCAAAATGGATAAATTTCAAAGCCAAAGCGCCTTAGGATAAATGTCACCAAATTTACTTCCACATATTGCTTCCACATAGTAAAAGCAGACACCCCAGCATAAGCTTTCCAACAACAACAAAAGCATGAAATACCATAATCCATAATGAAAATTCCCTTACTTCTCTCCTTTCAATTGGTTCTCATAAATGTGCGCCCAATGGGTCAGCCAAGCCAGAAATGATGCGAATTTCAGCAGAAAAAAATTGTTATCGCAAATTGTTTGCAATCTTTCTTGCATTATAGTGTAAATAATGTTTCAGCTTGACGGAAATAATCTTTTTAATTGTATTGTTAATAATTGTTTGCCTCATTTATTATTTTTATTTATAATAAAAATAAGTTAATCGATGAATGGATAAAATTTCTGTTCCAAATTTCAATACAGTGTTTGCCAAGAAAATCGTATTAAATTGATTTAATTGAAAATCAATTAAAGTGGAAATAAATTAAATGAAAAGAACGAAATTAGAAGAAAATAGCTAATTAAATTATCGTTCTCGCTGATGAAATATTATATTTTGTACAAAAGCGAATTGAAAATCAACTGCTGGCTAGAATTTCTAAAATTTGACAGATATGTTCATAAACAAAATACGTTAATCCAAACATATAACGAGCATCAGTCAAAAGAGATTGAACTAGGCTTTATTAGATTGTTCAAACTTTCTCTGTGGCCAAAATCCAATCATTTTGGACATTAGGGGGTTTCAACCAGAATAAAAATTATGCATTCAGAAAGTATTGTCAACCGAATGAACTCATTTTAAAATGATAGCAATATTTCTACGCAATCAGTTATTTTTAAACTATTTTAAACTAATCTTTGTCTTAACTTATATTTAAAGGTTTACTGAATTTTATAACTGGTTTTCACCAAAGTAGCGTAGCTCATATATTCGTGTAAGTAATGGAGTAATGGAGTATTTATGATCGCGTGATCTAATGCAGGAGCAAAAAATGCAAATATTATATTGGTATTTGCAAAAATTTTGTTGATTTTCGTTTATTTTAGGATTAAAACCAAGGCAACTGCAACTGAATTGTTTTTATTTGTTCTTCTTCTTCTAATAGCTCTCAACATTACTGGTTAGGCTGGCTGCAACGGCTACAAGGGTAAGACTTTTCCATGCTGCGCGGTATGGTGCCATCGTTGACAGTAATAGAAGCCATTTCCATCGTCTAAGTCCATATTGCTGGTCCACCTATACGTTCAAAATTTTTCTTTTCCGTATCAGTACAGGTCTTGATTGGACCACCTCGCTTTTGATATCAGCCATCACATGGTTTACGAAATAACGAAATATGCGACAACTCTTGTGGTGGACGACGGAGAATGTACCCTAACCAGCGAAGACGACGCTCTGTGACAAAGTTAATGCAAATGGTATTGGAACAAAGGTGGATTCGAACATGCGATATTTTATCCGCTCGACGGATCCGTAAAATGTATATCTTAGAGTGGTCAAAAGTAGATAGCTTCTTGATGTCCTCCACTCTCATTGACCATATCTCAAAGCCATATGGCAAGATCGAACGGATCACGGCTATATAGATGGAGACTTTCATTTTTATCGTGATTTCACGACGACTCGATAAAAGTTTTGTCAACCGGAAGAATGCATTTCTAACTGCCGTGATCCGGGTTGTAATATCATCTTTTGCCTGGCCATTTGGTATAAGAGTGGACCCAAGATATTTAAAATCGGGCATTTCCTCAACCGGTAATGAATTTGCAAAAAGAGGCATTTTATCAGTTTCTTGCACATAAGACAAAAGACTTTCGTTTTATTTACATTGATCCTGAGTCCGATTCTTGCTGCAATTTCTGACACGTTATTTAGCATCACTTGCATTTCTTCATGACTATCAGCAAAAAGGACTACATCATCAACGTATTCAAAATCTACGATACGATGCTCTGGACTGATTTGAACATCCCTTGAATGCCGACAAGCTGTATCCATTACCCAGTCTATCGCATAGTTAAATATTGTAAGGGAAAGAACGCAGCCCTGACGGCAATTTTTATTTCAAAGAAGTCTGTCACTTCTCCATTTACACAGACCATGGTATGCTGATAAAATGCCTTTATGAGTCGAATGATTTTCTCTGGAACACCGTCACCCTCCATCACCCTCCAAAGCGCTACTCTATCAATTGAATCAAAGGCAGCCGCAAAATGACTCGATGAAACACGTGGCAGTGGGTTGCAAATATCTGAAGCGATATTCCTTCTTAACGTGAATATCTGATTAGCGCAAACGCCCCGGTCTACATCCAGCTTGATTAGGGCGCATCCTGCTGTCCCGTAATTTCACAAATCTGTTAAATAACAGGGAAGCAAAAATTTTCGCTGAGACGTCTAATAGACAAAATTGGTAGAATTGATTCTACTAAGATCGAGCTTTTTTTTTTCTAAATCTTTCGTCGATGACGAAATCCAGGTAGTTGTTTCGAAATTAGCTCTAAACAATATTCTCTGGTGAAAATATATAAGACTGAAGAATTTTGCAAAATAAATTTCATGCTTAAACAATTGAATAATTGAATTGAATGGATCGTTATTACTTTAAAATTCACCACTTTTTTAAAAGTCTTAACTATTTAGCTATTTCTGACTGGGTTCACTTCTCTGGCTACTAGTTGTACTTGCGATGTCTCCCTTCGAGATACCAGTAGAGGGTCCAAGACACCATTGGGACTTGCACTTATCAAGCGACAGAATTCGAAGAGTTGGAATGATAGTTTAAATTAGCACAAAGCCAGTCCAAATCGACATAATTTTAAAAAAAGAATGATAAATTTTCGACAAAATTCTTATGAAATAAAAATTCAACTTGAACTCCCAAGAATTTTGATAAGTTTCTGTCAATATTATGCCATATTTAAAAAATTATTTCGGTCATTTGTTGGCTCATTAATGGTTCATAATGGTTGTTGTTGTCAATTGCGGAGCACACCTACACTACGTTTCTATTCCTTCAGGAGTAGAATCCGTTCTTCAAGAGTCTGAGTGGGGCGTGACCCACTCGCATTTTCAACGAATTGGTTCTTTGGCAAAATTTTTCAAATCTAAAAAATTAACTGAATTGAAATGGTAAGCGCTCTATGAAATATTTGGAAAATAAAGAAGAGATGATGCATGTGAAAATAATAATTTCCAAGATTATCAGAGCACTAATAATAACAGTAAATTTTATTTAATCCTAAATAAATAAACAAATTATTTGCTTTATAGCTAAAAGTTTCCGAAGGTATCAGAAAAAATTTCAGCTTTTGTCCATCATTCACGTAAAGCAATACGCAATTCTGCCATATTGCTTCCATGAAAAATTTTTTTTTCCAACAATTGCTGAAAAGATTTTTATAGAATAAATATCGCCAAAATGAATCAAAATTAAACTTGCAACAGTATGAAAATTTTCGGATTATTCGTTTTATAATTAATATCGTCTTTATTTAATCGTCGTTTATCACAAATGAATAATTTATCATTATCGAATGACCTTGATCATAAATTTCGCTCATCCTTAGTTAATATTTCAAGTAGTTTTAATATTCTTTTTATCTTACCGATTATTTTATCGCTATTTTTATATAAAAGCTTGATATGTTAATCAATAGATTTGTATGCTTTTGCAAATTCATTGGAGTCATTCGTAAAATATTGGCGAATTTCGGAAATTATTAAAAAAATTCAATGAAAGCGATTAACCGATAAGAATTTTAAGTTACGATTTGCCATTCGAGAGGAATTATGAATTATTCTTTTATTATTAAGCCGATATATTGCTTCAAATTTAGCATGGCTAATCTCCATGATTTGTAGTCCAATAGATTATAAGCATAAATCTTTGAATCCTTATCAGAATAATTTTGTTCAGCCATATGATGCGGATGGACTTCACTATTATTTGCTCAATTCGATAGATTTTCGTTTATTGAGTTTAATTTTGACAAATAGCTAGGAAACAGTTGAAGATAGCGAAATTATTTTTATTAATTTTGCCTGCCGAAATTAAATGAGACATTGCCAGAATTCTGTAAAATTTTAGAAAATTGGCACAAGAAACATTGTTATTTGAATTTGATCTATTGAAAAATTTCTTTTCTATTATTCCTGGTTAGGACTATTCCATTGATTTGTCAGAAAGTTTTTCAAGGAACTGATTGGCAGTAGAAGTAGTATTGATGAACTGCCAGCACTACCCGGACATAAAACTTTTGCTGAAAATAGAGGCCCAGCATCACCTCAGCGCTCCGAGATGAGAGCAATAATCCACTAAGCCATTCTAGCACTCATTATATCTAGCTAGATTAGCTTCGTTGGCTGATAAATTTTTGCCAATGAGTCACGGTAGAGGCATAAATAAGTGAGCAGCAAATTGTTAATGACAAATTATTGTCGTTTTTCCTCCAGCTTGCCACCTCCGGTCAGTGG